AAGAATAAAACATTTTTAGAAATTTCGGATCTCTCGAGTCTGAAATAGTTTCCATTCGGGAAATATCTTCCAAATTTTTCCCAATCGGTCATATTTTCACGGTATTATCATTACGAGATTGTCGTGACGTTTCAAAATATTTCCGCTCCCCCCCTCACTCGGTAAAATTTCTCGAATAATTTGTTGTGTCCATCAGTTTCCGGAATGATTGTCAAATTTTCACGGATTAATTTGAATTTTTGATACTTTTTTAAGTTTCCAAATTCCCCCCCCCCCCCCACACCCACAAACAAAATTTGTTCAATAATGTGTAATTACAATAATGGCGGGCATTTTGGTCTTACGGATCTCACCCTTACGGTCATTCGATATATTTCGAGATATTCCGCGACATTTCGAGATGGATTTCCCCTCTCCTTTCAACATTACGAATTAACAAATTGAACACCCGACATGTGCCCCTCCCCTAAAATGATTTATTCCCATCATACGACCGACAACAAAAAGCGCCCAGTGTCGCGGTTCTCACCGATTTCTCCACGGTAAACGGATTTATGATCGCTCTTGTACTTACACTGACATCATTACAGCATCTCAGAATATCCGAGAGAGAGTGGAGCTTACGGTTTCACGGTAGAGTGATTCCCAACGAATATAATAAACTCCCAGCGACGCAAGACCAAGGGGATAATCCAACGATTTGCGTCAATTTCCGAAAGGTAATTCGGACTTCTGTCACGCGCTCCTTTCCCTCCATTTTTTTTTTCACGTTCTAGATGCGAGTGAGAGAGAAACATTACGTCACTTGTTAGACGGTTAAATTAGGGGTGGAGGGGTGGTGGGAGGGGTGAGACACTTCGGGGCGATATCACGAGTATTTAGGGAAAATTTGGGGCTCGAGTAGTCATGGATACATTCGTCTTGTGCGTGACTGATTTGACATTGTTCATTCCACCCTGTATATTGTATCAATGTAATGTTTGGAGCTCCAGTCAAACGAGAATACCCCTGGTACGTCACTCATGACACATTACGTGTACTACCGTCAAACAGTAAATAACGTTGATTAACGATCAATAATTAACTGAATTCGATTAGAAAACGTGCAGTCATATCAGTTTTTCATTCCAACGCTAATATTTTTATATCGAAGGAAAATTTCATTCATCAATTTCACGATATTCATTACACAGTAGAGGAATTGGGAAAAAAATATGGCGGGCATTTCTGCAGATTGCTGTGGGGTTTCAATAAAAATATTTATCATTTGATTGGAATTTTGCAGTTTGTTGGAGAAAATGGAGAGCTTTATTGATCCTTGATGTTCGATTTTAATTTTGGAACGGAGAAGTTCCGGGTGTCATTTGGGAATAGAATCAGCGGGGGTACGATAATGCTCGAGACGTGTCTAACGTCTCGGTGTATCACGCAAAGGCATCGAATCGTTTCTCTCGTTTTATGAAGTTGAACGAAAAATGTTTGATGTTATTTACTGAATTGTTGGCATGGAAACGTCTGTACGAATTCCAATAAGTCGCTATTCCGTTATTAATTATTTGTTGATTATTTGAATTTTGGTGGATAACGGATACGAGTCCTCGGGTCTTCCGTTTTTTATCCGGAAAATTGAGAGCTTGACCGGTGGAGAGGGAGAAATTGGGGAAAAAGAAGTGAAATTGAAGGGCATGCTGGTGATTCTGTCGGGAAATTAGCTCTGGGCTACCGCGAAAAATCAATCTTCTTTTTTATTCCACTCTCGTGCCCTCCCACCTCCCGTCAAATCTGTCATTGGCAATTTCGCGTTCGAAATAGAATCACGCTCGAAATAGTTCAATTTACGGGGCCAAGTGAAATGTCTTTTAATTTAAATGAGACTGGAGCACGCGATTTAAATGAGTTGAGAGAAAATAAATCAAAATTGATGACTACTAATAGCCCGATGTAACAGAATAATCCCATAGCTGTTAAGTTCCCCGAATTCCAGTCTAATTATGATAATAAATTAATTGACATTCAACCTCGTACTGACAAAATAATATTTTTAATTACTGGATACTTATATTTTAAAGTCCTAAACACATCTGCGCCAATCGATAAAATCACTCAATCATTAAAATTCGAAATTAATAGATAATCAGGTCCCTGAAACGACAACTAATTAGTTGATAAGAAATTTAATCACCAGAATCGAAAATATAAATAATTTAATGAATGATGAATTTATTAAATTTGATCCATCAAATTGTTGGATTTTTAATGAATGGTCGAGTAAACAGAATTGTTAATTAAAATAAAATCGTATAATTAAGTGGTTTTTTCCGAAAATGAAAATCTTTCCGGGAGGCTATTATATTATTTATTCTTATTGTCTTTTTCACCCGTTTGGTGAAAATACAGTGGATGAAGGGGATAGAAAGGTGAAAGCATGGCGACTCGGCCTCGACGCCGATCCATTATATAGAATACCTATTTCTAGGGGTTAGGGGATGCATTACCATTTCTGTCACGCGATCTCTCTATAGTGAAACGAACTTAAAAAAATGGAAATCAACCGGATTTTTTTCCACCGATCCGGAACTGAATCTGAGACTTCACGAAAAAAAAAAAATAAATACTGGAATGAATTACATATAATTTACATTAATCAAATGTATTTCGATAATTCATTCACCGATTTCTAAAGTTTATAGTTCACGAGGAAAAACTGGAGAATTCAGTCAGAATCTCCACGATTGTATTCTGATTGACAACAATTAATTCCCGGGAGGAAAAAAAAAATCAATCCCCTATAAATACAAGGGAATTTTATTGGCCGAGTGCAGGGATGAATCCGATCAGTGCCGTGGGTATTCCCCTCCCAAATGCAATTACAGAATGAGGATAAAAAAAATGTGGGCGGATGCGCGTTCCCTTGTGGTTTTCGAATGCTAGAGTCAAGTGCGCGCGCATTCGCGCACAAAACGTTTACGGTTTAAATTGGGAGGACATCACGAGTGGGTGGGAATGAGGGGTAGAATACCCCACAGCCACTGCGGATTTCAGAATAAATTAGCGTGGATCGAGTGAAGAGGAGAGGGAATGATATTCCAGGGGATTTAATGTACACGTCACCCCCTCCCCCTTCCACTCTTCACCACCCCCCTCGATTCGATAATACCGATCACTGAAATCGGGTTTTGCCATGTGAAGGTAAACAGGAGTGCCGCGAGCACGTCCGCCAGTTTATCGCTTGTACGGAGATACCTAATCATCGAATTAACTGTCGCATACGATGGATCTTGTTGCTGTTGTATAACAGTTGTTGTCCGGTTTAATGGTCGTTTATTACATCAATTCATTTGCCGAGAGCTTCATTTGCTGCGTCGACGGTGTATTTGTTTACGATTTGATATATCGAGATTATTTCGGGTAATCTGAGGCATCGATCGAGATTAATATTTATGAACAATAGAAAGGAAAAAAAAAACATTATTTATTTGGACTTGTATAATTGGTTGGTTAAAATGATTTTTTAAAAGATGGCTGAAGGAATTGCGTGAAAAAATAAAAGAGACCGACAGATCAATTGTCAATTAAAAATGACGAAATCACTCAGCTCTTTTCTCCCTCTTCTCCCTCAGATCCTCTATTTCTCTTCATCCTATTTTATTTTATCTCGAGTAATAAGCTTAAGGGATTAGGAGAGGAAAGAGTGATGCACACGCGGAGTAACGGGGGGCGGTGAATTTTTTTTAAAGCGGGTGAAGGAAGGGGGTGGAAATAAAAGTGAAAAAACTCCGTGTCACTCCACTTTGTGAAAATTGGAAAAAGTCTTGTCGTTTTACTAGAGAGGGAGGAGTGGGGGGCAATAAAAGACAGAAAAAGAGAATGAGACGACGGTGGACGACGGGAGGCACCTAAACGCAATTAAAAATTTTAATTACTATTTTACTGAGCTCTTTCGCTTGGCGCGTCTCCCACTGTGTGTCCTTGAGTCGCCTTTTCTCATTTTTCTTTTTTTATTCAGGGGTAAGTGACTCGGGTTGACCCGAATTGGGGCAATTATCCGATGGGGATTAATTTGAAAAATTAAATTACCGAGGGACATGGGTGTTGATAAAAAGTCTTGATTTTTCGGAAAATTTTTGCCGAATCATTTCGGCTAAATTTTCAAATACATCAGATATATCTCACCGCTAAAATTAATATATTTAAAATTCCCGGTAAATATATTTAAGATATAATTCCGGGAGAGAAAACTGTATCTCAGTTATAATTTTTGAATTATGTTTCTGTCCATGTGGGTTATACCCCGCGCTCTCGGAATTGAGAGACAAATTTTTGGGTGACGTAAAATAAATTTGGAATATGAACTACCAAGTGGTGCAGTGGTTATCGTTGGGTTTGTAGTTTACGGGATTAATCGATACGTCGACGCACGCGAACTGCGTGGTATTGTCGCTGTCACGCACATAATTAATTTAATTTAGTTTAATACGAGTGCTACACCAGACGATTTGCCGTTTCGATTGTAAATTCAAACGCTGGGGTTTCGGGAACTCCTAGGCCACGGCGGGATTAATTGTGGGATCGTGGTGATTATGTTTAATTATTTCATTTCATCATTAGTTCAATTACCTAAATTGCCGGGATTGTGATGAGGAGTTTATAATCATTGCGCTGATAAATGAGTGGAATATAAATTAATGAATGCATTTCCTGGTGCGTTTTTTTCTCCGGAATTATTTTAATCGATAAAAAAATTGAGATTATCAAGTTTATTATCGGAATTTCATGCAATTTCCGTGAATTCAATTATCGCACTTTAATCATTTTTATTTCATAGGCGGAAATAATGTTTTTCTTAGTTCAATTTGATTTTTTTAAACTCATAATCATTTTTGGGGTTCTTTGAGGGGGAAATGAGCCATTCAGGGATTTTACTGAATTAATGAAGATAGGTTTCATGATTTTTGCCTGAAATTTCGGGCAAATTATTTTTCAACAGCGGATAAATTTACCTGAACACGGACTTCCGGGAGATTAACCTTCACCGCGAGCTCCTCCCGGGAATAAACATCCGGATAATGTGATTTTTCAAATGCCCGTTCGAGTTCATGGAGTTGATAAGTCGTGAATGTTGTGCGGTTCCTTCTGTGTTTTTTCTTGCTTGGATTCACATCGTCGCAGTTGGCACTCAATTCCTCGTCACTACCACCACCCGTTGAATTGCAGCTGTTTTCACCTGCAATTAAATTATCGTCAATTAGAAAGCCCTGGAAAACCCCTGGGAATCCCCCAAATTTTTCCGCCAAAAGAATACTTGCGTTTTGCAAAAAAAAGTGCGCAATTAATACCCCGTAGCAAATCGACTTATTCCTTACTCGAGTTTTCGCCAAATATCTCTTGATACAGGCAAAAAACCAAAATTTTCCCCAAAACCTCTTTTACAGAGCAAAATGAGAGCTGCAAAAAAGTATCAACAAAAATTTCGGTATCTCCGACAGATTCCGAGATACTTGTCGAAAATCTATCAATTAAAGAAGTCAATTAAATAGATCGACGGTGTAATCAAGATCGATTGAATTATTCCGGTAGAATATCGAGGATTGGATAAAATCCGCAATTCTCGGGAGTTGAGATAGAGATATTGGGAAATTCTGTGGAATTTTTAGGAAGAATGAAAATTTTTTTGTCATAAATCCGAGGAGCAAAGATGCTGATTCCTGGGGCATCATCTAAACCAGTTCTCGGTCCTAATTTTTTCTCGGCTTGCATTATAAAAAAAGAAAGACGAGATTTTATCAAGTGTGTAAAGGGGTCCCAGTGAAACGTTCTAGCTACTTAAGAGATTGACACGTGGAGATAGGATAATGGACTCGGCGGCCGAAAACGTTTTTTTTTCACCTCTAATGGCTTCCCCTTCGATCTCATCGATAAATTTATCTCCGGGAAAAAGCACTTCGCGTTATTACAGTTGTCTTAATACCACCTTTGGCTCAGATTTAATCGAGTTAAACTTCGAGGCCGAACATCAAACTCACATCTCCATTCCACTCCTCATTCATCATCATTCATTAAATTGCACATTTGATTGGATAATTCACTTTTTTCGATTGCCAATATCAAAATATTTTTTATTCCTCAATCACCTCATTGCACTCCCCAGAAATGTCATCCAAAATAATCTAAAAAATGGATAAAAACAATAATTTAAAGATCCATAAATTATTTTTCATGTTGAGATGATTTTTAATGGATTTCAAAAAAAATTCAATAATCGAAGCACTCGAATTTTTTATTGTCAATCCCTCGGTGTGTGTCCGTGAATTATTATTTACTGACTGCGAAGTGTTATTTATTTTTCAATCCGTCAGAAACGATTTCGTTTATTTCACTTTCGGTTGTTCCCCGAGTGTCGATTCGTCACTGGTGGAGCCAGTGGATCGAGGCTTTAGCGAAAAAAATGAGAAGAAATAAATAAAATAAATAATAGAGGCAACTTGAAGAGGCAATGGGTGTTAAACAGAGATCTCAGCCTCGCCGCCGTCAAAAGGCCAAAGAGGATTAAGGAATTTAGTCCTTTTCTGCTGCTGACTCTGAATCCCTCGTTTAACTCCGATTTTTCGTTTTTTCGTATCGAATTTAGCGAGGCTCTCGAATAAATCGGAGAATGGCGGTCTAATTAATCAATTATAAAGTATTTAATTCATTCTAATAAGAGATTTGATCGATTAATGAACAATTGAGGATTTAAAAATAATTTTTGGAGTGGAATTAGGAATGTTTAAAAACTTTTTATTGAAAAACCTCTTAAGCTGTCATCGGGTTTTACTCGCTACCTTTCTATCCAGTATAACGTTACATTATTGTGTACCACCTATACATTGGCTTGGCTTTTGTGCATACGTCTGGTACACATTCCTCATGCGAAATTCAACTCCCATCGAATATGTGTTTGTGTATTTGCCAACGACGAAAATCAAGCTGTCGAGTACAAACAATCTCATGTCAAGATACAGCCTCTCAATTTCCCCTATGGAATAGAACATACCTCAAAGGGGTTTTCTTCATTTCATTTCGAAATTGTTTCACTTCCGTTTTTCCTATTTTCGGACTCGAACTATTCTGCCAGTGAATTTTTCATTATTTTTCAACACTCGAAATTCAAAGATATTTCAATTAATGCAGGGAATTTGATTTATTTGAAAAATGCATCTCTATATTAAATTAACAGGAATTAAATTTCATAATGCAGGAACAATGCATTAGTATATTTAATATATAATAATATATTAAATATGTCAATTTATGCTTTTTTATTCTGTAATTAACATAATTTAATTTCAATTTTAATCGAATTCCCTATTCCATGATATTCAATAATTATGAATAATGATTGAAATATTGAATAATTTCACCTAAAAATAATTCTTCTTCTCTCGTTTTTCCTTGCGTGTGATAATACCCGAACTCGCCCGTGAAAAAATCCAATAAATTCCCCAAATTAAATGAAAATACCCCCGATAATGTCCACTCTCAGGGTCTAACCCCATTACCACCCTGAGCCCCGGCTTTCCACCTCAGTAAAAATCCCACAATAACTGATACAATTAAATGAAAAATTGTGAGTCCCTGCACACGGGCTTCATTATAATAGTAATCAGCGCCTACCGTGCCTCGTTATCGCTGCCGGTTAATAATTTAATTGTTTGGTGGCGTGCTAGGGTTTATTGGGATATCTCTCGCGGCATCTGGGAGCCGCGCACGTCGACAAAGGATACCCCCACACCACCCCATCACCACCCACTCGCACCCCAGCATCACCCACCCACCAGTTTCACCCCCTCACCACCAAATTTTCTTGAAATTTTCCCGAAATTTTCCCGCTAATCGTCATCGACACGATAAGAAGAAAAATCAATTCCCCAAAATTGAGTTTGTCTTCTTTCTAACGAGTTGAAATTGATAATTACTCGTTACCCAATTGCAATTGCTCGTACCTCTGGTATTGATCAGGTGTTCGGGTATTCCGGCTAATGTGCAGTAAGACCCCGAGTGCATGTTTGATTCGTCCATAACAGGACTTTGGTACGAGCGGTAATTCGTTTAAATCGTTCCACCGATCTGGCGTTGGATTAACCGAGAGACAATCTCACGTGACGGGAAATCGTTTCACCGGTTTTCACTCTTGGGAAGGAAAATATTTGACGGCATATCGAGATATAGACAGGACTAGCTGAATTTTGGTGGTTTTATTTTTCAACAATTGAGATATTTTTTGTGATTTGAATTGAGTCGCGAGAATTACATCTGGCGGTTTAAAAAATTTAATGAGGAGACAAATTAGTCGAATCGGCGCCACACGGGTTGATAGAATGCATTTTATTCTGATTGATAAAATTTGATCGATTCTCAACATCGGTATGCGGTAGTACCACCTTCCACCGCGTTATCATGCGGGTGTTTTACGTGTGTGCGCGCACTCGTTTCCGTTGGCCCACGTGTCCTAGCAACCGAATGGGGAGAGTCGTTTTATTCCCAGGTGTTGGTTTTCATTTATTTTTTTCGCCTCGGAAGTTTAATAAATGGGAACGGAAATTATTTAGATCTGAATTCCTCAATATTTTCAATTAATCCTTCCGACAATTTTTTCCTCACAATATCCGAAAAACTGTTTTTAATAATATTTCATAATTAATTTTTACAAATAAATAATTTATCTCTCCTCATTATTTTCAATCATCAATTATCTATGAAATATCAGTTAAAATAAAAATATTAAAATCTTCATTATATTATTATTATTGTTTACTGATGTATCAAATTGCCAATGTTGTAAAAAAATTCGTTATTAATGGAAAATTCTGTGGAATAAATAATTTGAAAAAATATGAGAAAATATATCTCGGCAATCTGCAATTCCAAATAATGTGATTACATTTGCGATAAGAGTTTTAATGAGCCCAGAGGATTGAATAATAAAACCCCCTGAAGGTAAATGGATTGAAGCCCGATCCGATTAATTTACTTCGATAAGTCTGATCATCGCACGCTCAACATGCCTCAAAATGTTGCCCAGCCTTACGCCTCCGTATTTAAACTTTCTACTTTTATATAATTGTACTCAACAATTTCACTCTAATCCAATTTCACAGGGTTTTTATTTTTTACTGGCTCTGAAATTCGGTGGTAGTCTCTGGGAGAGTGTGACTTATGGCCGAAAAAACAAGGTATCCAGTATAAATGGGTATGAAATTACACGTAATTGCCTCGGTGGGGCCCGTGGCAGTGTCACGCGATCGGTATTACCCGGTATTACCCCCTAACAAAGCCTTTTACGACCGCCACCCAATGCACTTTTACCACATTTATGCTTATACGCCTTCAACCCTCTATTACTATTACTCAGTGTATTTGTATTGCTACGTCAGACCGTTACACTCGCGATATTCCGCAATACAGACATTATCCCCTCCCCCATCTCGCGTAAATTCAGTATCAATTGATTCTATCAATCGCCAAGTGAAATTATCATCTCACCGTCACCTATTCCATTTTTTACCATTTACTATTCCAGATTTACGATTACTTATTTATTTTTTAACCGAAAATGCATTCAAGAACACTTTCAAAATTTTATCGATCCAGATTGCGGGATTTTTCCATGACGATTTGTCTAGATTAAATAAACAAAATGGATATTCATTAGTATTATTCATGATTCGCGAAAATTTGAAATTTTTAATTAGTGAAAAAAGGGAATAAATGATTTAAAATTAGTAATAAATAAATTTTTAGCTTTTGCAGTTATATTTCATATTGGGATAGGAGGGAAAATGAAAGTGAAAGTTTGCGTAAAGTTTCACTGAAACTTTTCGAAATTTCTCATTATTTTCTCGCTATCTAATGAGGATTAGTTGAAGAACAAATTCCTGAATGAACAGAAGCCCATGAACATTCCCATCGGGACAACTGGCTAGGAATATCGGAGACAAATTAGTCGTGGCAAAGCGCACACCACATTCTCCTGGGAGAGATTGCGACGGCGATTATAACGATTTTCCAATTATCCGTTGACATTGCCCCACGATATCTGCTCCAGGGTTGCACAATATCCACTGTCTCCATTTTCAAATTTTCCCACACTATTTTTCATCGATCACTTCCTCCGTCACGCACTGGAAAATTTTATCGCATTCGCGATTCCCTTTATCGTAAAACGCGACCTAAAAGCGGTTACCATCCACTATAAAACCAAAAGTGAAACTTCCCATAAAATATGCAAAATTCCCCTCCATTTTCATGAGTATCCGATCTAACCCGATCAATTAAAAATCGATAAAAAAAATGAAAACCCCAATAGCCCTTCAATTATCAGAATCTAATAAAAATTCAAATAAAATTCAAATAACAATTCATCAATTTCATCAATTTTAGATTTCTTCTCGATTACACAGAATTCGCAATCACCAAAAATAATATAAATTGTTTATGCAAAATAAAAACAGCTGTACCCACAGAGTGAAACTTTTCCATTCCCCACTCAATCGATTCGATCTCTCAATTTTCAATTCGAATTTACATCTCCATTAACCGAAACGTCGATCAACGTCGAGACAAGGCCCTCTCCCGCGCCCGTAGATTATTATCTCAGTTGTACCTCCAGCCCTAATTAAATATGAATTATTTACAACCAGTTGGTAACAGCGGGGGAGAGGTGGGAGAACACCACGAATTGTTTTCAACCTCAATTTTAATGCACGTATGTGGGTAAATCTAGACACGCGGTCTAACTAATTCTGATTATCGTCGTGATTAATTGCATAGCTACCCATTTGATGGTGGTGGGAGGGGGGAGGGGGAGGCTTATTAGTCAAACTGGAGGGGTTGTACATTCACCGTCGGACGGAGGTTATGATGAGGGGAAAGAAAATAATCCCTCCAACTTGAAACAATAAAATTCAACCAAAAATTAGTCTCCTATGAATTATCAATTATATCCGCAGCGATTTTCATTATGTAATTATTATTTTAATGGGGTAGTGATTATTTTAAAACTGATATAATTGAGAATGACGAGATGTTTGTGTGAGTATTGAAGTGGAGTCGATGGAATTTCTATTTTTTTTTTTGTATTGATAAAGTATTATTATTATTGTTAATTTGTTAGTTTATTGGGTGTTCGAGGAATTGTTGATTTATTCCGGGTGGATTGGAAAGCTCTGGAAAATGTTGATAATTGAATATTCAGCTGTATTTCGTGATTAATTTTCAGGATGAGTCAATAAAATTTGGGGTTTTATGGAGAAGTAAATAAATATTAAAAATGAAAATTTAATCGGTTTCAATTTCAATTCAAATGCTGATTATTGAAAATTCGGATGAGATTGAGATTGAACTGCCAAGAAATTTGTAGCAGTGTAAATGGATTATGCATTTAAAAAAAATTAATGATCAATTATTTATGATAATTATGGGAATTACCAGTGCTCTCTTGTGTATCCTTCCCTGGAAACTGGATATCCCTGGATTCTTCCATCTCCTGATGGCTCCCCTTCTGTCCTCTCCCAAGTATCGCATCGATACTGTGTCTCGGAATGCTGTTCGAGGGTTTAGGGAGCACCAAATCCTCGGAATTGGGTGCCCTCTCAATCATCTTCTCAGACTCCATTATCAATCAGTTACCACACCACAATAAAATTAAAAAAAAAAAAAAACCACACAATACGAGATCAATCTCTCGGCTGTCGAGAAGTCATTGTCCCGGGTATTGTCTGAGTGATCAACTGATTGCCGATTTTCTCTCACTAAAACTCATCATAAAACTGCAATTCACACCGCGTGCAAAACCGAATTGCAAAAAATCGATGAAAAATTAATTGAAAAAAAAAAAAAAAAATGCCGAGCAGTTCACAATTATTTCAATCACCTCGAATTATTCCAAAAAAACAACAATTACAGACATTGCAAAATTCGAATTATTTCCTTTTATTCAATTTATTACAAGTAATAACGCCGGAATCACGCGTTTTATCGGTAAAAAAACCGAGTGACCGACGTCTTGATGGTGCGTCGTGCAAACGTGCACTAGTAGCTGAGAAGTGGTGGGTCTCGGTGAGGGGTTGAGACACGGCTCACACTTCCAACACACACTAAAAGAAACCAAGGGGGTTGGGTGGGGTTGGAGGGGGAATATGAGGGAGGAGAGAATGGGGGTTCCGTTGTGTTCCGTTCGGTTCCCCTTGGCGGTGGGAGAGAGGGGGCGGTGGGCGTGACCAGATGACAGCCAATCACTGCGACGTCCGTCGGAGCCGGCAGCGAATAACGCTCGACTTCCACGAACATGGCGAGTCAGTGGTGCTCAATCCCCGGATTATCCAGCTAAAAGAGGGGGGTGGCGATGAGGGGGTTATCAAGGCGGTTGGAGCGGTTGAGGCGGTTGGGGTGCTTTTTTTTTTCATCCCCCCGTCGGTGAATTCTACCCTCGGGATTCACGCGGCTGTTTTCGTCGCACTTCGCGGCCGGGTGGGGCTAATTCGCGGGAGGGGGGAAGGGTGGGAGGGGAGAGGGCGAGATAACACGGGGAGTGCCGAGAGTGGATATTCAGGAGCCTAAGTTTGGGCTTCCGTGATACTACCTCTGTCCTCGAATGTATTTTCCACGGTCTTCGGGGAAATAGTTAACGCGAGTTTCAGGGATAAAGGAATCTTGGGAATTGTGGGGGTGAGAGGGGGGCGCATGCGCTGGGTGGAAACCCGCGGGGATCAAAATTCAGCGGGGGTGGGTGATTCTTGCGGCGGATTCCTGGCGTACCGGGTAATTGCCAGGAATGGGTGGAATACCGGGGGCATTGTCGGATCTTGGTGGGGAGGGAAACAGGGGGGCGAATTTGGGGTGAGTTTTGAGACCACGTGGAAAAATTTTGTGAAAATTCACCCCCACGATTAGTCATTGTGGCGATTCTAAAAAACACACATTTTTCTTGCATCGTTCACTAATTTTTCTATGTAATAAATTAAAAGTAGAATAAACAAAGATAAATTCCATCCAATGTTTTCCATCTAATTTTAACCCATATCCAAATAGTTGTTAAGAACTCGCAGAAAATAACGATAAAAAGATGTTGAAAAACATTTTAAGATCTTAATCGAATTTATGTAAAAAAAATTGAATACGTGTTATATTCCTTACAATATTATATTTTGAAAATATAAAATGGATATTATAGGTATTATTACATATATTTTTCGGTGAAGGTCTGTACACCCTCTAGTCATTAAACAATTGATTGATACAATCGCGATTGTTCCGCCTCCCTGACGTGAATTCGCGGACCCGGAAACGGTATCCGGTAGTCCCATCAGATTCGTCTCAACATAAACAAAACCAATTCCTCCAGTTTTCCTCAATTTCTCCTTTTTGTTGCCGCTTCCTCTTCCCCAATATTGCGGGAGAACCCATTGGAAATAAACCGAAAAACCAAATTAGCCCTCTCTCCCCCACAAAAGGGAGACGAAAAAAAAAAAAAGCCATTCACTTTTCTCCATTGGCCCTCTCCTCGTATGCACCCACGCTCTCAGTACACAGCAATTTTCTCGTTTATATACAACGTATCGTTATATTCCAGTTGGCGTTTTTGCCCTCGAGGAGGGGGTGGAGGTGCAGGGGGTGGGGTAGAAGTGAGGGTATCCGCCCACAGAAAACCCCACAAAAGATATATGAGATGTAACGAAACAGTGGCCACTGGACAAAAAAAAAACCTGAAAATCGATTTCCACTTTCAATTCGTCAGTAAATTATACGTTTTGACGAATGAACTTTTCTCTTTCAATCTTTCTTCGCTCCATCTCTCTCCATATCAATTCGAGAATCTGTTGGATCCGAATACTGCGGTTAAACCCCTTACTCATGAGTTTTTCTTTATTTTTCACGTGAATGAGGGAAAACGCCAGTCAAAAGATTTAATATGAAAATTCATGTTCACGGGATAAATTGAAAATTACCCAGAGAGGCTTCTCACGGACTTTTCCAATTATTTCCACACATTTTCTCCACGAAACAATTCTGTAATTCTCATTGGAAAAATTGCATGACGTCACTCTCAAGGGATTGTAATGTGGACGAAATTTTTGAGTGACGTCCGACGATTTTTCGGTCCCGAGGGAGTCATAGTGACGGTGAGAATTTTCAAAAACGAGAGCAGCCGAGATAACGTAATACTTATACCTGCGGTTAGGTAATGACTCGTTGAGACAAAGGACTGGGGAAATATTAAAACCGAAAGATCGCTGCCGACAATTGGGCAGTTTAAACTAGAGCCACTTTATGACGTTTACAAGTGCAGAAAAGGACGGAGATAGTACTTAGGGGAACGAGATACTCCGCCGTTTTTTACTCGTCGCCTGATTTTTATCTGATTCCGGTATCTGCGGGGATCCGGTTAAATGCGACTTTCGATATCTGATCGGGGGGTGATAAGTGCCTCTGGAATTTCAAGTGATTTCACATCGTCATCATGATGTAATCCCCCGATTTTTGGATTACCGGGGAAGCCATTTTGCACCACTCATATTTAATCTCGATTATTTTCCAAAAAATAAAAAAAAACGGCTATTTCTGAAACATCGCTCGATTCTTTGAAACGATGGAATTTTCCCAATGGAATGAATAACGATTTACCGATCAATTATCAATCAATATTTATTGAATAAAAATTTTTCCCGCATTCCCTTTGAATTTACGAAAAATTAAATCAATGCAGAGAATTGCATTTTGAATTATCTCGTTGCATTAAATTTTGGTGTCTGACCCGTGCGGGGTGTTAGGTCAATAATACCCTCGGGATTTTCATTTTGTCGATCAATTCTAAAACGAGATTCTCTCGAAACGACTCCTGGAGTGGTTTTCCTCGAGACTATCGCGGTCGAGTGGACAGGGGATCGATCGGTCAACAACTGTTTTCTTAGTAAGAAAAGAAGAAAAAAGAACGATTGGTCTTGTATGGCCGACGAAAAGAGCAGCTACTGGAAACTCAAGACTTGTTTGCAAATCCGTGAACAATAAAAATCCATATAAAACCGAAATATTGAGTTGTGTGTGCAGCGTGCAGCTGCGGTATAGATCAGACTGTGCAGATAAGTCTAATTTCGTTGGGCGTTTTCTCAGTGGCATTCAAGCGAGAAAATCCGCTCCAATTTTCCACCGGCTACTTGTCCCACTCTCGCTCTATTTCTTGGACACTCGTAAAAAGAATGGAAATGGGGAATAAAAGAAATCACCCCAGATTTACCACCCGTCAATGTTTACCGGATTCAACGGCATTTACATTATGAGCGGTAATAAAGCGAGTGCTGGAGAAAAAAAAAATGGGTAATCTTGGGACTGTTTTTCAATCTTTTCATTTCGGTTTATACACAACTCGATGGGCTTTGCACCCACTGTGGTGTCGGTTTTAGTGCATTGTCGGTTGTTACAGTTGTGTTCAAAATATGGGATTTTTCCTGGGGCGAGGAGATTAACAAGTTTGGGAAAAACTCACTGCGGGGGGTTTTCTACAAATGCCCGAGGTGTTTCACTCTCATTTTAATCGGCGACGTGTTTTATACGATAATAGAAATAAATACGGGATTAAACCTGAGGAGAGGACACGTCAAACAAGTATTTACGGGATAGATCGTTATTAAATCGTTTTCTCGATTCAACTCCGAAATCACTCGAGTCAATTTTTCCCTTACAGATGACATTTTTGAATATTCATCACCGTCCAAATCTCGAGATATCAAAATTTTCGTCGAATATTTTCCATAGCGCGCAATGAGATTTCAAACAAAAATGACGTACACGAAAAATCGGTATTTCCCTTCGATTCCGAGATATTATTAAAAAAAAAAGTCACGTGACAATTTTATTTTCCTTAAAAAAAGAAAACTCCCCCAACCCCGCATTCCATTTTTTAACGCGTTAAATAAAAAAAAATCCAATAACAAAATCCCTGACGTAAATAATATCGTATCATCTCGAATAAATTTCTGTAAACAAAAGTAATGAATGATAAAGTAATGAAATAAAATAGAAATATCAGAGTGTAACTCAATTGGCGATTACAATCCACGATAGGTCCATCCGTTTACTAAATTACTGTAGCGTCCTAATAATGGAATGGCAAAATTCAAAGTTTCCACGGTTAAAAGCCCCATCTCTGTCGGATTTAGGTGCTACCTCTGTCTTAATAAACTCGCGAACTGGTTCGGATGTCCTCCTCTGGCATGACGACTCGGTCCTCTTCCCTCCAGTGATGCTGAGATAGAGAGGTGAAATCCACTCATCCACCTCTAGCTTGGGGGTACTCTGGCTTAATTAACTGTGTATACACCGCAGCCAACTCCTACTGTTGTCTTGCCCCCGCCAATTGGCGTTGAGCTGCAGAGGAACACCCGCCATACTCCTACATTATTCCTCGTGGGTGTACGTGCGATAATACGTACTAGTCGAGTTTACCGGTTTAGGATAAAGCGTGGGGTTATTGAGGGTACAGCGAGGGGGAATGACAAAGTAGTTTTCGGGGGGGAGGCTGGGGGGTTATATACTTGCTTAATTCTCGCTGTATAATTTCATCAAGTCGCGACCGTCGCACTCGCATTTTGCGGTGCATAAATGAACGATGTGGTAATGAGGTTCAAGTTTTTGGCAAACAGTACACCTCTCCAATCTAACTTCACATGAAAAAAAAAAATTTTCATTCAAGTATATTTTACAGTGGATATTCGATTTTTCATTTTTATTTCATTATTATTATTGATTAAAAAAATGCATTCTCTCGTAATTGTACTTCTATAAACTAA